CGAGGCGTGTTCTCAAATTCTGATTGGTCGCTGCGACCGCAGATCGCCCGTCGACGTAGCGGTACTAATAGCGCACGATTGACCCAGCTGGCTTTGTAGCCTTCGCTGTGGTCCAGCTTGTTAGGTGAGAGCGAGTTTATAGGCGGCGGCTATAAAACGAGGCGCTACGAGTGAGGTTGAAGCCGCGCGTTGAGGGCAAAGATGTCGGCGGCTTCGGCGGCGGTTCGGGCGAAGAGTTTTTATCGACCCGTCCTTAATGCGACCCTGGAAGGTCGCCGAGATACCGAGCGGGACTGTGCGATTGCTCGGCTGGATACAGAGAGCGCCGTTATCTGTATCAATAGCGGTGCTTCTCGTTCGAGGAACCAGAAGAAACCTCTTCTCTGCGTGACGCATTGCGGCTTGAGTGGACCGATTTGCCACTCCATTTAGTATCACGCACAGTTACCCTGTTACTTTTCCCTTCTTTCTTTATATACTTTTGCCCTTTTGACAGACACTGCCGCAAGTTCATTGCGTAAGCTGTTCTTAGAAGCACAATAAAAAGATGCTTGATTAGATACGAAAAGCACCTAACAGTATCAGCACCTAAGAGCAACACAGATAAGGGTGTTGCGCCGTGAGGGCGTAACACCGTTGAGTCTTCAAAAAAAATTGAATACCTTAGGACACGATAGAAACCCTATGGTCTTTAACGTGCCCGAGGAAACAGTTAATTGGCAACTCGAATCCGTACGTGGGGCTGAGAATGAGTATCAGCAGAGCGTTACCGTTACGCTGTAACCATTACCGCCGTGCCCGAACTGTTCCGGGAACTTACGTTGAAGAAAATAGTTCAGCGAAGAGTCGTCCTTCCCTCGTTGCCGGTTTTTATGGCTTACAGTTCCTACAAATTCGGTGTGTTTTTGGTGTCGGAGAAAAATAGACGCTTATCGCGGCTTATGTTGAAATAAAAAGAAGATAGAACACGGGCATGGGACTCTCTAACACCCTGGATGTTTGGGAATCCCATGGAACTTGCGCGCGTGACTTGGATACTTGGGAATACAAGCCGGTACCAATCAATGAACGACATGAAATAAAGGGTGTGGATCCGAAGAAAGAAGCTGTCTCGCGAACAGTCGAATGAGGTTAACACAAAATGAATCTAAAGATAAATATTAGTTCCCGTGAAGCTTGAGTTTTTCTTTAGACCAAGACACCTCTAACTCTGCGTTTTTCTCTCTCGATTTTTTTCTGATATTGTTAAAACCAGATCGGAAATTAATTTATAGGGCGTATCCGTGTATACTGAAGACACGGAACCCTAGGTAAAAAACAGTGACAGAAATGTTTCCTTCGCGGTATACTGTTCCAGCACGGCAGTGAAGGTAACTGCGAGGCGGTAATACCCGGCTTACACACTATCTCCTCGCTTCATGAGTGACGTCTAATTAACTGCACATAAAAAAAATAATGTGGGTTTGAAATTACAGGGAGGCTGTTCTCATTTCATGTTCATCACTCCAAGTTCGCTGGCCTCGCACGAATGGACTCTCCACTTCTACGAAGTCATTTCCCGACCTCTAAACGGCGATTTCCGAGCAAAAAATATCGGCACTCTAAATCGGGATCTTTAGCTTCGCGTTTTTCGCATTGGCATCGTTGCAGCAAACGTACCAGAACAACGTTCAAGCAAATAGAGACAGGGGAGACTCGAAGCTATACACATCCTGCCCTCCCCCCCCCCCCCCCCCCCCCTCGCCCCTCCCAGCTGAAAACTCACCGCGTCAGAGGAGCGAGAGCAGTCATCATAGGAAAACCGTAACATCGTGACTAACACCGACGACGACAACAGAATGAGAACAAAAGAGTTGTTGCGGTGACCCTAATCATCCCGCAGGTATCGCTACGCATGGGGCGCAATACATGACCTTTCGTCACGCCAAGATGAAGTCAAGATCGCACAGCTCGCGCTCTTTGTTTGCTCTCTCCGGCCTCGAAACCTCAAACAACCGTCCAAAAGTCAAACAACGACAAAAAGAAATCCGTGGGGCACAAGATGAAGATGGAGGCACATAGTGCGCATCATACAGAGCTCTGCAGGACGAGCTACATTCCATCGACGACCGCAGCAGCGGCAGCGGTGCGCAGGGGTAAAAGGAAAGCCCTTGTACGCTATTTTCAGTACAGCACCTCCGCAAACCGCAACGCACCACACACCGGCCGACCCGCTGGAGGAGGAGGAGGTGGAAGAGGAGGAGATCGTATGCGATGTTCCATCTGTTATACGAACAGATAATCGCCGGCACCTATTTTGAAACGCGCAGCGCTCGGTTTATGGGCGCGTATGTCGTCGTCTCCCTTCCTTCTACCGCACGATCTACCCCGCGTTATAAAAGTGAAAATGTGCGCCGGAGGAGGCTGCGGATGTTTGGGCAACGCAACCGAGGTTCGCGAGATAAAATGCTAGGTCTTCCCAATCGCGAGGCTGCGATGCCAACGACCCCGGGTGCAACCGATACCCGGGTCCGGGCCCCTCGAACGAGTTCACCGTTCAATCGAAGCAGCTCCCGGAATTTAAGCATCTTGTAAATACGTTTCCATTGGTCCATTCCTCGTGGTTCGTATTTATTCCAGATCTGGGTGCACGACCAGTGTACTGATTATTTTGAGCAAATCTGTTTGCAAGCATGTACGGAAAAAAATATCTTAAAGAATACGCTCTTAATCGTTTTCTAATGTTATATCGTATATAACAAAATGCAATATCAGCTGTCGTTGATCTGTTCCAGGTCGGTATACCCTAAAGAGAATCAAACAAACGGTTCGACAGTATTTTTGGTACGTGGAAACCATCTCGTCCTTTCGTGTGCTCTAAGCCGTACTAGTATATTGCCCTTGTGTGTTCCAGTTCATCATCTCACTCTCGAGTTTTCTGTACAAGGAGGACATTTTGTAGTCAATCCTTAAGTGAGCGGCGGCAAACATAAGGCTGGCGGTACCTTCAGTGAAGCTGTCTTCGACTCACTTGCGTAGCATTTCTTAGCGCAAAAGCTTCTTCCTACGCGTCGGCTCCTTGCAAACGTCGCCATCGCGTCTGCTCACCTCGCCGTTCGAATGAATGGATGAAGAAGTGGCGGATACGACGGGCACCGCAACGACAAGTGCGGGAAACCAGAGACGTCGGAGTTATTAATGGCTCCCAGACGCGGCGACATCGACAACAGCTTGGCGTCTTTATGGAGGAAGGGGCGAGCACATCGAGACTTCGAAGGCGCGGAGACGGGCGCCTGGTCGCGGCTTCGATCGGAACGAAACCGCCTTCACTGCTAAGCTGACACCGCGGTGCAGAGCTACGTGCTCGTTGGAACCAATCATACGCTTGTCTTTTACCACGTGGTCACACCGCTCCGTCCATAGCCACACGCACGGAGCGGGGTGAGGTGAAGAAAGGGAGGCGGCTGATTGGTCCAGACTGCGGAGTGCTCCCACCGCACTGTGAGCTCGGAGCTGAACGGCGGATAGCGGGTGCGGCCCATCCGATCGCAACTGACTTCTTGTCAGCCTTGTATCGTGGGACTATTTTAGCGCGACAGTAAGTACAGAAGCGCCGGCTGCGTGTCTCTTGACGAGAGCTCGAGGGATGACAGTCCTTACGGCATAGGCCTGTACTGAAGCATTGCACGTCTATTTTTATTGTCACGAACATTTATATTTGAACCTGTGCAGTTCAAAAAAAGTAAAAAGCAAAACTATTTTAATATATATTGTATGAACATAGCTTCCTCTATACTAGAAAGCCCGTCAAATTGACGACGGAACAATAGAGCGCCTGGTTGCCGGAAAAAGAGAAAGGAGATGCGCCAGAACGCCGAATGCAATGGTAGCGCAAGGGGCGATCTGTCATGAGCGCCAGCGGACCTAGCGGCCTCTCCCCAAAGCGCATTTGAATTTATTTTTTCTCTTTCAAATTTTCTCCTCCCCCAAACGCGGTCACGGCGAGGCATTGCGGAAAGGATGAAAGGATGCAGCGACCGTTTCACGGCGGAAGGAGGAGAAGGGGTGCGAGCGCCTCTTCTCTTCGTGCAGCAAACGCAATCATATTTCTCCAAGCGAGCTGGACAAGAATGACGAAAATAATTCCTGGAGAACGGGAAGAAGGGGCAAACAGAAATGTCCAAGCACAACTAGGTGACCGGCGCGCGACCAAAAAATTCCGCCTGGTCCTGGTATCGAACTAGGGACCTCTCTATTTCCACTGGAGCGCTCCACGAACTGAGCTAACCAGGAGTTAGACGTCAGCAGAACAAACGGGTTTTATCAGCTGCCACCAGTCTCCCACCAACAAGGGTGAACGGCCGCATTTTAAGGTTATAATGATAATGAAATTAATGCCAAGGTGCAAGCGAGCTGGAAAATAACGAATTATTTCCTCCAGAACAGGAGTGTTTTTGGATTTGACCACTCGCGCTGTCGTCGCACCACCAAAAGGTCGCCTTTAGGACGCTTTGGGTATCCTCTTTCTCCGCCTGCTCTGCCCCTTTTTTCGTGACCGCTTTTCTTTGGGGTTTCTGGCGGGCTTTCTAGTATAAAGGAGGCTTGGTATGGAGCATTCGAAGTTTTTTTAGTTATTTTGATGCAAATTACTTGGTACACTAAAGACAGAAACCGCCTCCCCAAAATCGTTGCAACGGGACTGGCGATAATTTACCTGGGATATTGAAATATTGAATATGGTCATATGTATACCAAAGAAGTCACACTAGTATACTCAGAACCTTCTTTAAAAAAAGTGCAATATATAAATTTAAAAAGAAAAAAAAACATTTTAGGGAGGATTATAGAACGGCAAAAACCGTTTCGTTGTCTTTTCGCAAAACTTTGGTCCCGACCTCCTGTTCAAAATCCCTCCCAAAACTTTTTTTCTTTTTGGCCGTGTTTTTTGGCTTTTAATGCTTTGTTTAAATTCACTTGTGCAGTTTATTCACGCCTTCGTGTTTTTTGTTTGTATCTTGCAGGTGGTGGATCTTCTAAACAGGTGTACTTGCCCGTCCCAATTCCCGATGATTCGCGTCGCGGACGGGAAGTACAGGATTGGTGACACGAAAGTGCTAATCTTCGTTCGAGTAAGTACACCAGGGCTGCGAAAGCCCACGCACATTAATCTTGATTTGAACTAAATTTCTTATTTTAGCCACCTTTCGGCTTCCCCCTGTTCCCTGGCCGGGTAGCGACTCGCCCCGTAGGGGAGGCCAACATCTCTCCCTGCTGTCCCCCCTTTTCTCCCTACCTCAAAACACCGAACCAAACCAGGAGCCCTATGAGCTCTGCTCTACAGTCAAAGAAATCCTGTTTCGTCTGCTTTCCCGCAATGCACTTGGCAGAGCCAATCCCTACATTCGACGGAGCTAGCTCCGCCAATGACGAAGCTGAAAATATGTTTAGACCTAAAGAAAAACAGTCTGTGTTGTGCCACTGAGCACGACCTTTCACATACTTATACGCGCGCCATTGGAGTTTTAGTACTGCGTATAGAACCAATTGCAAGCGCTGTGCGTTTCCGTTAGCGTTGCGTGCTCCACGCTGCGCATGTGTGTCGTCGCCATGCACCAATCCAAGACCGCAGTTTGGGCTCCACGCACGCGCTGTGTGGAGCACTCAAGGCAAAGGCACAGCGCTTGCGCAATACTTAGAAACTCTCTATTCTCCGTGTCAGAGTGCAGATTATTTTAACCGGAGGCGACAGACGACAAGGGGACGAGGGACAAAAAGACACGCGCATCGAACGCAGCTGAATAGATTTTATTAACACGTCATGTGCTAATAAAACCACTCTCTCACACGACCTTCACCAAGTTTGTACACGTTCACACATTCATCGTCACCCGTCACGTGTCCGTCGTCTCCGGTTAGAGTCATGTGTAACGTTAACCAGCTCGCCTGTTTTGTTAACCTTGTCTTCTATCAGAACGCAGACTTTTCTTTTTTAGGTCTGCTTATTTTTTAACTTTTTTAATTCCCTGAGATTGCAACGATTGGCGTTCCCAAGTGCAACGAAAGAGACTTTTTTTTCCTTGAGTGTATAATGTTTGCTAAGAAACGTTTTCGTATAAATGTGTGAGCTAACATGAATTATTCGTTAGCAGGTGCTACACAGACGCGGGCAAATAACAACGTAATTTCCCGCATTAAAAAAAAAAAGAAAAAAAAGAACAGAAAATCTTTTTTTTTTTTATTCTTTTATCTTTTGCAGTCGGTTATTTTGGAGGGTTGTGTGGGTGAAAATTAGAGGCCCCCACCACGGGCATAGATGCAAATAAACACAATGCACGAGATAATTTACACCTAAAGCCTAGGTAAAACATCGAGCATAATCATATAAATAAAAATATAGGGTGTTTTTTTTAAGCTTTACATATTTGTGTAAATAAGGCGTGAAAGTTACACTTATGCGGTTTGTGCAAGTGAGCTATATGGCCAGGGGGAAATTATGTGGGTGGCCAACCTTTGCGAAAAGTCGGCTAATTAAATAAAATTTGTTAATTAACTTTTTACTTAGTGAAAATAGACATGCTTCCAATTAGAAACTTACTGAGCGTCATCGAAAACCACTGAATCAACTCTTTTTAGAACGACTTGAAGCTCGTGGGAAACTCGGGGGCGCGCCAAAGTTGCCACTCATGAAGCAAGCGCAAAGCTAGCAGTGGCGAGCTGCGGATGATAAGGTTATCACCACGTTCCGCCACTGCTAGCTTTGCGCCTGCTTCACCAGTGGTAACTTTGGCGCGCCCCCGAGTTCCGTTCTAAAAAGAATTGATTCAGTGGTTTTCGATGATGCTCAGTAAGTTTCTAATTTGAAGCTTATGTCTATTTTCATTAATTAAGAAGTTAATTAACGAATTTTAATTAATCAGCCGATTTATTGCAAAGGTTATCCACCCACATAATGTCCCTCCACCGTATAACTCACCTGCACGGCTTTTTTAAACAAATCTGGAAAGCTTAAAAGAAAAAAAGAACACCCTTCACCGGTCTAGTACTTCGAAAGCAGCTGACACGTTTATTGCGGCCAAGCATGCGAGTATCTTACAATATGGTAACCGAGAGCTTAAGAAGCGCAGGGGGGCGTGGCAAGCACCACATTGGCACTGGGGTATTAGCGTATAGCGTCGAAGAACGAATCGCAATATAAGAATCCTGAACACCATAGGCCACGTTGTGCGTTTTCTAACCTGACAGAGACTATAACCATAACACTCCCTATGGTGTACATTAAAAGAAAAAAACAATTGTTAACTTTTTCTTTTTCCTTTTTTTTTCCTCTTTTTTTGTGTGTGTGCGTGGTTTGGGGGGGGGGGGGGTGGACAGGAGGAATAGATGAACGACTTGGTTTGAGGCGGGTAAATCAGAATGCGACACGCTTACTGAGGTGCGCTTTGTTTTGCAGATACTTCGAAGCCACGTCATGGTTCGTGTGGGTGGCGGTTGGGACACGTTGGAACACTACCTCGACAAGCATGACCCTTGCAGGTGCAGATCAGGTAAGCAAGCCGGCATCAGAGACGAGAAGCGATGTTGGAATCGCTCAAAAAGAGTGGCTATATTGAAAATCATAGTGGAGGGCAGGGGTGGCCAAAATGCGGCTCGCGGCTCCCCGAAAAGACCCCCCTCCCCTCCCCGGGCAATATCAAAACAAAAAAGATACAAAAAAAAAAAAAAGTCACAAAATATTGTCGATAGTCAAATCGACGTACAAATACCAGGCATTCTTCTAAAATGTGAAGGCCGTTGAATCAAAAGAGCGTAAAGGCGCGTTCCCACCGGCGATGCGATCTGGTCGCGCGATAACTTTCATCGCAAAAGCGACCATCACGGGCAAAAAGCGACGCGATTTGAGCAGTCGCTTCTCGACCCGACTTTTTTGCGATGCGATCTAGTCGCGGAGCGGCTGAGCCAATCAACGGCGTTCGGAGCGAGAGTTCTCGAGAAACGACTCGCCGACGAAGGCGCTGGACCACGACCGTTGGACTCGCTTATCGCGCACGCCGGTGTGATCATCTAACTTTTTTGCGATGCGATCGATCTAGTCGCATCACGCGACTACTTACATCGCCGGTGGGAATACGCCTTAAGACCCTGACAGACGAACGCCCTGCTCAGACGCTGAGTTCTGCAACGTCGTCATTCGAGACGATCCTCATGGCGCTTGTTTTACGAATGGGAACGCATATTAAGAAAACATAATGGCCAATGGCGTTATTGGAGAAATTCGTGTTGGACACCAACTAAAATAAAAGAAACAAACCCTGCCCTTATTACTGCGGCTATTTAGTCAAAATGGTTATTTTTTGTGGTTCTTCGTATCGTATATGTCCGTCTGGCCGCCCCTGGTATATATTGTCCACGATGAATATCCGCGCATTAAACGAGCCGGAAAAATTGCCGCCTGCACGTAGAAAGCTCAAGATTTCACCGAATGTTGATTGGTGTGGTGGGTTTTATCCGGTGGATTTTCCAGGTGTGACTCCCTTCCCCTTCGAAAAAAAAAGACCAACAAACTTGCCAGGGGCCACAGCGGACATGTCCGCAGACGACCGGGTTAGCGATGGTTGTAACGCATGGCGCCGTCTCCGCTAGGTGAAGTGCGCCATTTAAAGAACGAAAGAAAAAAGAAAGAAAGAAAGAAATGAACACAATGTCTATACTGATGGGCAATGAGATAATCGCACGATTTTGACACAAATCACTTTTGAGTGCCCTGTAGGAACAGTAGAATTCATCAGCTTATAGGAGAAGGAAAAATGGTGGTGTTTTCACGCGGATTTGCCTTAGAGATCCTAGGGTATGACAAGATGGCATGGTATCTCTGATTAATTTAGTGGGTGAGTGGCGTTTGGCGAATCTGTTACCCTGTTACTTTTGTGAACTTCTGGTTCTCTCATGCTCCGCCGTTCAGAAACGACGTTCTTGCTGCGCGTACGCTCGCGCATATGTATAGGATCGGAGAAGTTTCAAACCCGTACCATTATCTTACTTGCGTCTCATCGCCGTCGTTTCCATCTGTTAAGAGAAATGTCCCAACAAACTGGAAGTTGGCAAACGCCGCTCACCAATAGGGGTATTCACTGGACTCTATATTTGAGGGCGCCATTTAAAGCGCATGCACAGAACGAGCTCACATTGATAGGCTGCTAAGACCAACGTTACTGGAGCAAACTCAGTTTCGCAGCTCCGTATTCTCGCCTGCGGACGCGAGTGGCCCAGGTGGCGGTCACGAGAACTAGTGGCGCCGCAGTCGGATCTTACTTCCCTGTCTCGCGCGTCGTCTGCTACCAACGTGTTGACAGCTTCCTTTTCTTTTTATTTTCTTCCTTAGTTTTTTGTTTTTTTTTTACTTCCATGTGTATATTGGCAAAAAAGATGATGCGGGTGAAGTGTAATACACCACAGAGTTAAGAGTCAGCGCATTGTGAGTGTTCTTTCTTTGAGTGTATGAAATCTATTTTTGTGTGCATCTCTGTCCCTGCGCTGTGAAGTGTTAGTATGAATCACCAACTCGCCCAAGCTCAAGTATTGCTATTCAAACTTGGCGGGCTAGACGATCCGGAAGTAAGACTCGACTGCAGCGCTGCTAGTTGTCGTGAACGCCACTGAGCCCACGTCGCAGGCGTAGCTGTGAAGCCTGCTTCAGACAGTTGCGTTTGACTGCGTTTGACTGCGCTGCGGCTGCGAGAAACCAGTACATCACTGCTGCTTATATCGCGTGCCAAGATGATTCCTTGAATAGAATTCCACGCTTCATACGAAGCACAGATGTGCCGGTGACTCGCTTTTGGTTTTTACGTGTCACAGTCAATAGGGAGTTTTCGTAGACCGTTTTCGCCACTCCGCAACGCCCTCCGCAACCCGCTACGATACCCGGAACTCTACAGCCAAGGCTATCGGCGCGCAGGCGCAGTAGCTACTTCTTCGTTGCGGAGGGCTTAGCGGAGGAGGAAACGCGGTCTACGAAAACACCCTATTAGCACTCAAACGCAAGCGTCTGAACCGGCCTTGAAACTGAGCTTGCTCTAGTGACGTTGGCTAAGACTAACAATCTTGGGTGTGGAATGCACGTTGCCAAAGGACTGTTGAAGCACGCCGTCAGCACACGCGCTCAGCAGTCGCGTGCACAACTATGGCCGCTAGTGAATACTCCCTATGGACTGATCCAGAGCCGTATATGTAGAGAGTTTGGTCAATGGGAGGCGCGGGCAGAGCAGGGCGTGCGGCGGACTCGGAAAGAGGGCTTGGCATGCTCTCTTGACCAACCAGAAGCCGAAAAGAATCCCCTAACGGTGGTAGCGAGAAACAGTTCTGATCAAAGGTGTATGTTCGTATATGGTTTTAATAAGCGCGTAAGAGTTAAGTGGAGTAACTTTTCGTGGTTGAAGATAGGGTGCGCGTGTTGTTTTGATCATGATCATGGAGAAAGATGTAAGAAACGAATGCGCCACTCAAGTCTGTTTTGCGCGGACAGAGTGTGACCGCTCGGACGGCAGATTCCCGGCCCTCGGCGCTTGGCGTACGAATTATGTCGATCGTTCCGCTAGTCGCACTCTTCCACCATCATTTCGGATGAGCGTGATTGAAACATCACGTGTACCATATTTGCAGCCATCGAGAGTTACTCTAATGCAGTTATCAGGTTTGTTTTTCGCGACTACCGCCAGGGTACTATTTCCGGCTTCTGGTTGGTCACATTCAGACTTGTACCGTACGCATTACAAGTAATCAAATTACTTGTAATCGATTACTTTTTGGAGTAATTTTGTAATCAGTTGATTACTTTTATTAGGCAGTAATCGCAAGAGTAATCTGATCACTTTTTGAAGTAATAAAATTACTTGTAACCGTCCACGGGAACCCCCCCCCCCCCCCCCCCGCCCCCCGGCACACGCCTTTTTTTTTATGAAATTAGAAAAATAAAATTTGCTTTTTTTTTTTTCGAACGGAAAAAAGGAAGATTTTTGCGGAGCTGTAGGAAACGAGGTCAATCTCTTTCTATGTACAGTTTCTGTGGAATGTCCGTTTTCTTTTTCGAGCTGGGACTGGGAGTGGGAAGCCCCAGGAAAGCCACAGTGCGTGACAAAGGCCATTCAGGGCGAAGTTTGAGGAAGCAGATATAGCTTTGTGAGTCCTTCCTTCAAACTAGCCCCCTCATGCACACACACACAGAAATAAAAAAAATAAAAAATCTTGCTTAGTGTACCTACTCGCAGCCCGTAGGAGAACCAGAAGCGAAGAATGCATAAAGCGGATGCAGAATATAACAACGGCAGTTGAAATATTTCCCCATTTCCCTTACGTGGTCTTTGTGACAAGCAATGTTTCGAGTTGAGAAGTGGTCGGGGCGATCTCTTCCGCTAATGGATACTACACATGATCCGTTTCAAATCCTGGAGCTGCTGCTTTTTGTATAACATGCGAGCTCATCCACATATGAATAATAATATGAGCGATGCAAACTTTGAGCGACAATCCTTGCTTAAAGATCTAGAACCCCTCCCCCCCCCCCCCCGCTTCCCCCCTACACACACACACACACACACCGGCGAACGCCCAAATCATTAAACGTCTTCAAACGAATTCTATGCTTGTGTCCGCATTGTGAAAGTGCAACGACCACGAAGAGGGAGCCAGTTTTTCTTCCTCGATACTTGTGCAAATGTGAAATATAGGTTGGAAGTAGTTCATTGGTTATGAGCGCTAAAGACGTGTCTTCACACAATAAAGTAATCGGAAAAGTAACGATTACTTGTTTAAGTAATGTCCAATTACTTTTGCCGTCGAGTAATCAAGTAATCTAATTGAATACTTTTTAGCCAAGAGTAATAGTAATTGTAATCGATTACTTTTTTTTAGTAACGTGTACAAGACTGGTCACATTCGAATTTCTGAAGACGCCCTGGAACACGCCCAGCCCGCTTTCGGCGAATGGCGCCTCCTCATTTGTCTCCTATACTTCCCAACGAATGGCCAAACTCTCTACATATACGGCTCTGGACTGATCTCGCTAAGCGTTCGACGCTTGCGAAACGCCGCCATAACTGTAGTTCATAGGACGCAGACGCCAGTTCACGAGACAGCTCGTGCCGCCTCGTGCTCTGCACGCACCGACCCTCAGCGGGGTCATCGCTCGTGCAGAAAGACCACAGGCCCCACGGTGCATGGCGGCAGCAGTGGCGTAATGAAACTGGCTGTGAGATTGGACTATTCGAAGTTTGAACGGTGGTGCAAAGGTGTGCTCTCGGGGGTTACGATCTGTGCTACGCACGCTAAATGACTCGGGTTACCACTCGCTCTGCACTGGCCAGATAGTCTTTTTAGGGTGCTCAAACAGAACTCCGAAGTAGAAAGAGAAACGCGAGGAGCACGTGGATATTCCATCGCTCGGAAGAAGTGTGTTTCGGCGTCTCGTCGCAGCGAGGCGCCCGTTACATGACTCTCCTCTCATCCGTTGTCTGCCGCTCCACCATTTCACTTTCGGCGGCCGCGTCTCGTGGCGATCTGCCAGGCTTTGTCAGTATAGAGGAGGCTATGGTTCAACATAAGGTCTGTTCGATTCGACCAGGAAGTTCTGAACCAGTTCTGTCCGAGTTCAGAGGAGTGCAGGAGTCGTGCAGCGGCGGTGCAGAACCAGTGCAGCCGCCGCGCTAGGACTGGCGCTGTGATCGCCTTTCCGAGCGGAAACGCAAGGTGTCGTCTGCATCTGTTGGCTCTTGTTTCTTCACGCCACGTTGTATGCTACATTTAATTAGTTGCGGTTTGATGAGACCATTCGTGTTTCTTTTAAAGTATTATAACCGAATCTTTTCTGTGAATATTTTTTTTTCGAGTGTACTAAAAACGTTTTCTGCGCGAAATGTGTTTCTGTCTGCATTTTTAACGGCCGTTCGGTTCCTGTCGTTTCCCTAAGCGTTCGTGTCCTTCACATTCATTTAGCAATAGTAGAGTCACTCCAAGTCTTTGGAGTTTCGCATTTCGACGATAGGTTCGCGGCATCAGGATGATTTTCCGTCGGGAGTCAGTGGTGGCGGTCACCTCAAAGACGAAGGCCTGACGATAGCGTTTTGGCCACAACAGTTATCGACCGTAACTTTGGCGTCAAGTTGAAGCGTTTATTCTGATTCCCAAGAAAGACCTGCGTGGAACTACCAAGCCAATTCCGATTCCCGGCGTTTTTCTCATGCCCGTTAGTGGGCGTCCACAGATACCAGCGGACAAAGCATGCAGTATTATGCTCAGCTACTGGGCATGCGAGGGCCAATGTACTAAATCCCAGACATCTGCAATGTATCGCAGTCGTCAGTATGCATCCAAGAGCAACTGAAGTCTGGGACGATCAAGAGTGCAATACCTTTACCGTGTCTGTAAAGAAGAATATCAACACTTTGGATCCCCACATAGCATCAAACAGAAACAATTTACGTGAGCCAACATTTCAACACTTACCACCGGGAGCCAAACCTACACGAGCAGGTGCCTAAAACGCTTTCAGAATATCATAATCAATCATATTCCTACCCTCGGTTATAATCTCAATTCCGCGTCCACTGCGGGTACGTTATTATCATAAATGAGAGGAAACGCAACCTCCGTATCGGCGTTATTCTTACACATCGCAGACATTTGAGCAAGAGCTGCGAAAAAATGGCACCGCGAGCAGAGACGGACGAGGAGTGTCGTCTGCTATCGCCGTCTGCTCTTGTCGTCTGCTTCTGCACGGACGCTGAACTGACTCCGGAGCCGGTGCAAGATTTTGAGGAACTGGGTCTGAACTCGTTCAGAACTGGGATGAATCGAACGCGCCAGTGCAGCGGCCGTACAACTTCCGGTTGAATCGAATGCGCCAGTTCCTGCACTGCTGAACTAGTTCAGCCAGTTCGGGCGAATCGAACAGACCTATAGTAGAACATTTACTTCTGCACTGGTACTGGTGTTGTGTGGCACCATGTCATCGCATGTACTTCGTTCTTATCGTTATCTTATCGTTATCTTATCGCCACGACCACGAGAGCTCGAGGTTGCTGCTTTGAACCGTTCTTCCGCGGAACGAGCACTCGCGCTAGAAATGCACGTCTCAAATCCAGGTGCGCGGGCTAGCTCGCGCTTGTAGCTTTGGCGGCGGTCTCTGCTGAAGAACAGAAGATAGCAACAGGAACTGCAAGCGCTTAAATTTTGCTTATTCACAAAAAGTCCCAAGTGAGAAATTATGAATACTATAGTTCAGGTTTCGTTCTTGGTGATAATAGCTAGTCGCGAGAGTATTCGAAGTTGGTACGAGGTTCCTTTTAACGTTTCTGGGAGTAATGGTTAATAAATTTTATTTCCGCAGACATGACGTTTAATTAATGATATGAAATGTCCATAGAAAAAAGAACGAATATATATTAATGTTCATTCAAAATTTAGTAATCTAAATATTTATGGCTTAAAATTTTGCTTCCAAAATATTTTAGGTCCTACCTCACAAACATGTCCTTTCAACAAATACTGCGCGGAAAGCCTTCCGAGTGTGTTTATTACAAGAATATCAAATTCACATTGGAACATGCCATATTCGTGTTATAGAGTGTGTGGATGTTAATTATTAAAAAAAATACTTTTATGGCAAATTCCTTTCTTCGTCACGAATCCATGGAAATGAAAAACCCTGACAAAAATAAAACCTCGTATGAAAGTATAGTTCACACGAACCACTAAACTCTGCCCAGTGTTGATCAATATTGATGATTGAATTTAAAGCGAATTTTGCTCCTACCTCGGGCAAATATGTTTTCTCTAACGAAGAAACCCCGTTTTCTCTAGGTCACCGGACATCAACTTCAGCAAAACTGACCATGACACCGGGGAAGACTGGAAGTCCCAGCATGCAGGTCACATACAATAGGTAAGACCTATTAAAATTCCTATTAAATAAAGCCCCCCCCCCCCTCCCAAAAAAAAGAAAAAAAAAGGAAACGAAAAAGCGTTTACACGGTACGCTAATTGTGGTATGTTTGAATCTGATCAAGAATATAGCTGGCATTGAAACGTCGATGAGTGGGGATGATGAACGTCTATGTTGATATTTTTATTCGTGATCTAGATATTTGAGTACTACGTAAAAGGGGGGGGGGGATCGTAGTTAAACGTTGATTGAACGAATGGGTGCTGGGCGGTAACTATTTTATATGGACCAGTGTTGATGAAGATAGGATTGATGAAGTTACCATACTGAAAAAGGGAAAAGGGGGTGGGAGGGGGTGGGGATAGAAGGATAGAGAAAAAATACCCTGTGATGACTTTAACTTTGCTTTTGAAGAACACATACCTTTATTTAGGAGGTAATTAATTTTCTTTGGTGGAACATGGCTGACCTATTTAAAAAGATACTATCAGTCCAGTTAGTTCTATCGATAAATGGGTATGAATATTTGGTATGAGAGAAACCAGTGTGTATGTCTTAGGGTGGGCATTATTCTAACAGATGTTATGCTGTACGGTCAGGTCACCTGACCAAGCAGGTTTGCATTATTTCTGATCCTTTCTAATCGCGCTTATTTTCATTTCGCAGACCTCCGGCACCGAGCTACCCGTACGGCAACACTTCACCCCTGATGTCCCGCAGAAGCCTGCCCAACAACGCCTCACTTCCCGAGCATGACAGAGACATGACGCCTTCCAGAATCTCGCACTACAGCGACGACTCGACCAGCTCCAGCAACGGGTCGGGCGCCCCCGCCGACAGCAGCAGCGAAACTTCAGAGGGGGACTTCGCCAAAAACACGTCGGGCTCCCGCAAGTGTTCCCCCCGAAAGATTGCCAAGACCGGAGGCGGAACGCCACAACACGGAGAGTTTAACAGCGGCTGGAAGATGTCCCCGGACAGGCCAGACTCCGGCCTGGCACACGACCTGTCGGAAACCAATTCTACAACATCTGCCGACGAAAGTTCGGTGGCACCGCCAGTGTCTCCGGCCAAAACTAACGGTTCCGCGGCACCCAAGGGCCTTACAAACGGCAGCTCCAAGCAACAGACGACGGCCAAGTCCAAGATACCGCATCTAGCTGCACCGCATCGAGCCGTGAGCAACGAAACCCTCAACAGCAACGGGATCGCAGCCCATCCCCAGACGAACGGAAGACTGCGACAGTCATCCACTCCTCCAAGTGCCAACTCCAGGCGGCGATCTGTGGAGGCGGCGTTGGCTACCTTGCCGAGGTCGCGGTCCCACAGCAGCGAGGGCAGTATGACAAACGACAAGGCCTTCTTGACCCGCGGAACTGTGGCCAGGTGTTCCTGGAGGAGTCCTCCAACGGTGCGGACGTCCCGCGCTGACAACGGTTTTGCTTCGGGCAACAAAACATGGGCCTTCCGGCAGCGCTCCTCCAGGCCGGCCATCAGCGCTGACCTCTTCAGCCCCCCTTCTACGTCTCCAAAACGAAGCGCCTCCAACGGCGCGAGCCCGACCAAGTCCCAGAGGCCCAACGTCATCTCACCCCTGCTTCAGGAGTTCCTCTTGGACAAGGACCTCGATTCCGACGACAAGATCTTGAAGAAGATGGAGTGGATGGTGAGACGGTACCGCGAAGGAATCGGCAAGCACGACATGCTTGGCGAATGTCACGGCGAGGACGACAGGTGTGCGAACGATGGCCCTAGGATGGCCCACACGGCGCCCACGTCACCGGACGGCTTCTGCAGCCCTCCTTGCCGGAGGCGGGGCTCCAAGATTCCCATGGCTACTTATTACGACAGGGATTGAGTTTGCGTTTTAGAGTGAAAGTGTATAGCTCTCGAATGCGTTTACTGCGGAGGCCCAAACGACCTAACGAATGCCTGAGACTATATACCTCAGTGCGATGCGCACAAAGCACCGATTGTTATTTCCGAAACGTTTTCCCCACCAACAGGCATACAAAAACCACCACACTGCGAACAAAGTTGGACGAGGGCAGTGGTCTGCTTTCGCACAGAAAGCTCGTGTCAGTGGTCATTTAGCCATTGGTTGGCTGCCATCCGTCATTGGTTTATTCCAATACCACCCAGAAAGCAATACCTGCCCGCCCCCTTCCACAAAAATAACAACAACACAATAAATAGTGGGTTTACAAGCGCCACCAGCGCGTCTTGCAGCGTCTCAGAACTATTGCGACGCAAGCACTTGGTGACACCAAGATGGACGCGTCTGCCACTTTGCGGCGCCTCTCGTTGAGCTTCAGCGCGTTTGCAGCTTGGGGCGGGTCGGTCGGGGATCCAGGAACGATGACGTGCATGTCTTGTCTTCTAGGTGGTATCTAGAGTCACTGAAAGTTCTAAGAGTACCGAATTCCATTCAGTCCGCTTACCGGAAGTAGGTCCCGCAGAATCCAGTTATGATTGGCTGGTTTAGCCTGTGGCGGAAGTTATCAGTCGGCCATTTTGTGGATCGGCCCAAAACAACAAAAGAACGGATGCAAATCGTTTCTGCATTACTGCGGCTATGGTGGGTACGCACGCGTGGGAGCTCTGGGCATCGATGAGTTAGTAACGAACGGTTGCGCTGGTGCTGCGTTTCAAACTCCACGCCTCAGACGCTAAGCCTAACACTCGATTTCGATGTGTTTCGAGACGAGAGAGACGAGACAGCAAGGGGCAAGTCACGCACCGCTCGGAACGAAGGAAATAACTTTTTAAAAACAAACCAGTGTCGCCACGAACCAGGAACGTGAATTGAAGAGCTCACATGAGAACGAACGCTACACTGTACGCGCTTCGCTTCGACCGCACAGGGTAGCGCCATATTGGGGATCGCGACTGCTACGCCGCGACTCGGTTTTGAAGCGAAGCTTGGGAGTTTCGGTACACTGGGAACGTTCAGTGCCTCTGGCGGTATCGGTTTAGCTGACCACTGGTAGACTAGGAGATGTCGATCCGCATGAATATCACCGACAAATATAGTCTTGAGTACGTTTCAGATTGAAGGAAAGAAAGCAATTAAACGGTAGTATATCGAAGCGATTAAGACATGACCTAGTGAACATAAACACCTGCACAAGAGCATAAAGTTCATTTGGAAAGCAAGCTATATCTCCTGATTCACGAGTAACGATAACTAAGTATGTATAAACTGTGTAGATATATTTTGACATCTATTTTGAAAACAAAACAAAAATGGAGCGAAGTGCGAACTCAAAGCAAATGTAATGGCAGGAAATCAAACTTCGAGTCTGAACTGCTAAAAAAAAAAAAAAAAGAAGAAAAAAAAAAGCACGATAACACTTTGTTGTAAAGACAAAAGCCACAACCAGCGCAGCATCTAACTTCATGAAGTTTTCTACCCCCTAAGTTGGGACAACATAATCATTGTCTATGTATTTCATCGTTTTATTACACTCTCATTATTTTTTAAGAACATTTTTTTTCCATTCTCTAAAATTCGCTGCATACCATTCTAGTCTGCAACAAGAACGTTTCGTGGCGACTCCACATGGGCTCATACTGTTATCGAATCAATGTAGGATAAAATTAGATATGGCGCATATTATTGACTGAGATAAAATATATAAAGAATATATATGTACTTGTAAACTTTCGTAATAGATGGGGACATACAAACTCGAACACTATAGGTGAAGAATTCAACTGAGAGAACCTCTTCCACACGCCTTACGATATCTCAGACTAGACCTCCGAGCTTAGGAAACCATTATTTCTAGCATTTTTCTTTTGTATATACATATATTACGAGCTGCTACTGGCAGGCGGAAGAGAGGTGCACTTGTTGATCCTCCTGGCAGCCTGCTGAGTGAGGGTCGCGAGCACTTAGTCGGGGACCGCGATACAAAGCGCCCCTGTTACTTCGCATGTCTTCGCTGCTATCATTAAAGGCTTGAGCATATACGATGTGAAGTTTACTGTGCACTTCGTTACTATCAATGTTATATGTGCCTCGCTGTTACCTATCTTGCAGCTGTAGAATGTAAATAAAAGAGTTCTGTTTTATAACAACGTGTCACTGTGTCAGCTTTATAGAGGTCATGCAGAGAGAAGGGGCGGGCACCGCTCTTCACCGGTATTCACTGGTGCCTAAAGAGGTAGTATAGTTTTTTTGTTTGTTTCTTTGTACTACCGTAAGAGTGTTATCGTTCCTAAGACCTACAGAAAACGAACCATATGGTGCCAATAGACTATCAACATTCCTGATAAGTTCCCAGCCCAGACCTGAAATGGCGGTAACTGTGATTCAAACTGTATTTAGTAAGCTCCCTTTAAGTTTGCAAGTGCGTAATGATATTGAAAGCAAAACATCTTGTGAGATAACTCTGCCCTTTTTGTAACAAAATAAAATTTAAAAGCGCTAACAAAGACGAGGACAAAAAAGGAAGGCGAACAGTACGAGCGCTTACTCTCAACTGAACATTTATTTAAAAACAACTAAAGCAAACAACCTCCAACAAAAATACACTGAATCACTCAGTGGCGTCACTCATCACCACGTGTCAATGAAATCACCCTCTTTTTGGTGCAGAAAAATTGACGGCTAATTGATGCAGCCTTCAGTACCCTCTTTCTTTATAGCATGCGCTTCAAGCACTTCCCTCGCAGCTTTTTCACGAGCCCTCCCCACGATCGTGGTATTTTGAAAGTTGGGCTGGCACAGACAGTCTCTGCAATGAAGAGGCAAGTGTTGAGCACAGAGCCAGGTCATGCTCGCGCATCCTCTCATCTACGCACCGTCCTGTCTGGCCAATGTACACTCTACTGCATGTCAGCGGTATTCTGTACACCACACCCACGTTACAATCTGCAAATCCTTTGGCATAATTGACGGTGCATAAGCGCGCGACGTTCTTTTTTTCCTGAATTCGTGGGCATAATTGTGCCAACTTACATGGCGCCGAAAACACAAGCGGCACATCAAATCCTTCTGCCACCTTTTTGCAGTTGTGTGACATTTGTTGCAAGTAGGGGATGACCTGAGGTCTCGTTTTTTTTTTGTTGTTTTTTTTTACCTCAGATTTGCCCTTGATCTTTTTCAGCAGCGTCTCGGCAACTCCAAGCAAAAGTGATGTTGGATAACCGGCATCTTAAGTCGACTAACCTGCCGGTTGGAGCTGTCACGCATAACGTGATGGCATGACTTCTGAAGTGCCGCCTGGAAACAAGACGAAGCAATACCCCTTTTTACTAATTTGGAATGTGCCGAATCGTAGGCGAGGATTCCCTTTTTGGAGCGCGGGTGTTAACTCCAACACACATGGTTTCCCGTGAACTGCAGTCTCAAGTCTAGAAATTGGAGAAACTGGCCGTCCGGAAGTTCGTAAGTGAACTTTAAGCCATTTCAGTTGTCATGAAACACTTTTAAAGGGGTACTCCGCCGATTTCTTCATGGTCCCCGATTTGCTTGAAATTTTGCTAAACTCGCCAAACAACATCGCCAAAGTAGTATCCCAAATATTAGGTCAAAATAATTTTTTTTCACGAAGTTATCGAATTTACAATTTTGGTCCTCACCGTGTTTTTCAAACTGAAAGCCTCTACTGGCAACAATGAAAAAGTGACGTCAGTGGAAGTGCAGGGGTTCACTCTTTGGACAGTAGAATTTGTTCCCAACTGATTCGAAGCAGTTTCATGGTGTCAAATGAATGCTTTGGAAGCTTGCTCCAGTCCCTGCGCTCCAGCACGGAAAAAATGATTGGCATATTCTATTTTTTAAACTGCTCGCCCGACTGGCAAGCTTACCTTCCACTGACCTCACGGCCCTGAAAAGGGCGGGTATATTTGAATGTTTGTTTTTGCATCATTTTCATTTGCCGATTTCGCAATAACTGTTGTGAATTTCACGATACTAAATAGCATACCAGAAAGGGTAAAGGCCGGGGAGTCAGAAAATATAGTTAGTTGAGGTAGCTCAAAAATCGGCGGAGTACCCCTTTAACACACTCTCAACAACCTGGTGCGTCAAAAGGTTGTCAGAACGTAGCCATAGCACCAAATAGTCATCCCCATACCGGACAACCCTACACACTTGTTTCCCTTCCAAGCCAATCTGAACATTTCGGTCGAAGTTGGCTAAGAAAATGTCACAAAGGACAGGGGCGACGCAAGATCCTATACAAATGCCTGCTTTTTGCACATAATAACCGCCCTCAAAAAGAATGAAGGTGAACTGCAAGTAAAATTTCAAAAGTTCCATAAAGCCATCCAACCCTACACCACAAGCGTTTTGGAAGCCGACAACACCATTTTCCTCGATGCCCTTACGTACAGCAACAAACAGCAAACAGCTTAGGTCTCCCAAAAGGAGACCTAAGCACTTCTTTTTTGTCCTCGTCTTTGTTAGCGCTTTTAAATTTTATATCATGAACCAACTCGCCCGCTTCGCCACTTTAGTTCTGCCCTTTTTGCTCTGAAATGTTTTTACGCGATAGCTCTAAGGAGCTCGTGTCGCAGAAAAGCCGGCATCGGTGGCGTGCGCCAAAAACCAGGATTGGACAATAGGGTCATGACGTCACAGCCACATGACCGCGCGGGGGAATTTCAAACCCATAACGCTTGCGTGAAACGTGACGTCATGCATGGAATGAAAGTGATTAAAAACGTGACATATAATACAAATTTAAGGTCGCCGCATGTCTCAAATGAATTCACTATATAAAGTAACTAACTTGCCTAAAAGAAAAAAATTCCGCGGAGACCTAAGCACTTCTTACATGAACGCGAACGAATGAATGCCGTTCTTCCGCTCCCTTAGTTCGACTCACGGTGTTTCGACTGCGGTGTACTGGCGTAAACGGCAATGTTTCGCCGCTGCTGAAGTTGCCGAGCGCGCGCACTCGTGAAGCGGCCGCACCGCACCCCCACCCCCCTCCAGCAGCGCCTTCCACGAGTGCGGCGGCCGAGCGCGGTAATAGACCTATTGCTATTAGCGGCGAGATGTTTTGGTGGCGCCCTCCTACGGTTACCCTTGTGACGTCATTACCATGCAAACAACAAGTTCGATGGTGTTTGTTATTAGCATGGTGGAAGCTTAAAATCATTGCGCTCTCAAAGGAACACTGCCAACACCGTCAAAATTAAAGTTCTTTCATTCCTCTTATTTCCGTCGATGATAATCCCCTTTCCGACGTCATACTCACCGTTCGGCCAATCGTGGAAGGCCGACCACAGCGACGCTTTCGGTCGCGAACGTCGCCAATATTACCCAAGCATCAAGGAGGATGAAGGGATTGGTGTTCCACGCGCCGCACGTGCTGGCCTCAGCAGTAGTAACTTTTCTAAAACAAATACGTAAAAGAAATGGCGTCTTGCACGCGCATTCGTCAACGCTTTATTTTGGTTATTTTCTTCGAATCTTTTATACGGGGAAGGCCAGCACGCGCGGCGCATGGAACACCAATCCCTGCATTCTCCCATGATGCTTGGGTAATATTGCAGTAGGTCTATACCATTTCCACGTAAAGCCCCTCGATATGTTTGCGTTTGTCGTGCAAGTAACGTCAAATGCGCGAGTGCACGAGACCCGTACCTCGAGCGGCCCTTGGAAGCGAATGGCGGCGCAGCACTGAAGTGAGCGGTCCTAAGAAGCGAATGGTGGCGGAGCACCCGCTCGTGGCACGGGTCTCGCGCGGTTCCACAACAATGGTTGGCGGTACTTGTAAAAAACGCCTTTATCAAGGGGCTTTATTTCCACGGCCACTTGATTCCCCCTGTTGGTGCGACCTGCCGATGTTTTTCCAAAAAAAAAAAGAGCGCGCGTGAGAGGAGAACAGTCAACTTTCCGAGGGGGAAGGGGCCCGGTCAGGATGGTGACGACCGATGATGGTGTTCGCCCGATGGTAGTCCCCCGGGAAGTCGAATAAGAAAAAAAAAAAAAAAACTAAAAGTTGTTCGATCCCGCTGGACACATTACGACGTTGGTAGGTTTACGGTGGCCAGTGTGGCCACGTTTATTTTGAAAACACAACGACAAGTCAACGGTAATATACAAAACTTCCAAAATTAAAACCCCGTACTTTAGTCCCCAGTCTCAAGAGCCGAATTCCCCCGAGAACCCTCTCGGCAGCCCTTTTCTAGCCTCGTAGATGCCTCCTTTCCCTCCAGAGATGGACCAATCACTTCAAATTTCACCACTCCCACGTGGTACACTGTCGTCCAATGGTCGGCGAGCTGTCATCCTGTCGCTGTAACCGTCAAACCTAAATTCCTTGTAGGGTTGTTCTCTGCAATTTTTCCAGTCTGACTGGCGCCAACCGCTAAGTTATTGCATCGGGCAAAAAGCGACAATTTTACACTAAGCAGCGAAACCCTCTATATACAGGCACATTCGGCTAAAAGCCACAACCAGCTGCAAGAAGGGATCTGTCCGAGCGGACTACCGAAACCCGAAACGTTTCTTAACGACCGCGGGGAAGCCGCTCCCCACTCCCGGCCGCTCTGCCCCCGCAAATGCTCCCTCCAAAACGCCGACACTCACAAAGAAAGCTAAAAAAAATAAAACGATGCCGACGCAACTGTAGAAAGATAGACTTTTCTAAAACAAACTTTACTTATTTCTAACAAAATCCATCGTTACTTAACACCTCCCCACCAAGAATGTTGCAAGTACACTTGCTGTTCGCGCAACATCTGTCCCCCTTTTCGAGACAGACGCGTAGCATACGAAAACAAAACAGCAACAGAGGAGCTATACCCCCTGACAAAAAAAAATAATCTGTTGGGCGACAGGGAAAACCAACAACATATAAAAAAAAACACACACACACACACAAGCAAACACAGTCCGGTGAGACCCAAACCCGTACGTTCCAGATTGCACCATGACCAGTATTTATACAAAAGCAGAAAAAAAAAAATTAACGTTGGCTACAGGCAAGGAAATGCAAACGCGAACAGAAAAAAAAAAGGTTTGCTATACCTAGCCTATACCCGAAACTGTTTCTCCATGCCTGCGCGTCCCCGTCGTCTCAAGTGTCTCGCGTGACCAAGGCAAAGGTGTTACCCCC